GGTGATTCCATTGGTGAAAGTTCAAATGGAACCGAAGTGGAGTTGAGGAAGCTCTCATGAGCGCGAGAGAGGACATGCGACGCGACTACCCACATTTGTTTGATCAGGTAAATAAATCTTCTGACAAGTACCTTATGATATGTATCTTATATGATATTTGGACATTTGGTTATATTTGGCATTTAACACTAGTATGGAATATTCTCGCTTAATTCTTATCTTCGGAACACACGGTATATATATGGGGGTTCCATGTTTGGATTTTCACCCGATGTACTAGTTCACTAGATTAAGGTTTGAGCGGAGTGTTACCATTTAGATCGGTTAAGTATAAATCTCTCTATATGTTTATTTGGAAGTTCATGATTGTGAGATGCATATAGTTTCCGAATTTCGAGGACGAATTCTTCTAAGGGAAGAAATGTAGAACCCCGTAATTTTTATATGAATATATATAAATTATTAGTAAATAAATAATTCTTTTATGATAAATAGCTTGAGGTCATTGATGTGCATGATAGCAAGTATATTTTGAAAATGATATGAGGGTATGGGTGGTAGAGCTTTGTGTGTTGGAGTTTGCAAATTAGCAAAACATGCACAAACTGGAATTTCCAGATCAGCGACACTCAGTCGACTGATGTTATCGGTCGACACATCAGTCGACTGATATGCTGATTTCCAGTTTTTACAGGTTTCGCGGTCTGTTTTTGTTTTGTTTCGGTTTGGGTCGGGTTTAACTGTTGGTATATATCCTTTCTCACCCGAACTCACCCTTAGAACTTCAGACCAGAGAAAACCTAGCCCCCTCTCTCCTCTCTCAAACCCTAGCCTTGTTCTTGGTTGTTTGGGGAAGAAATCGGAGGATATTTCGGCGGGATTTTCAATTTGCAGCGTAAGGAATCACTCCCCTCAGAATCAGGAGTCCTTCATCACCTCAGAGGCGAGTAACATCTCGCCCAACCTTGTCCCATTCTTTTTAAACGTTTCAAATGGTTTTTATTGAGATCTCTTTGGCCTAAAACGTATTTGTGTACAAAGATTATATTTTGTTGCATATAACATGAAGATGTGCATTTTCAGTTGATGAATAACCTACTAATGTTTGGTAAATTTAAAATCCAGATCTGAAATGTTTTACAAGAGATTAACATGGGTTTTGTTTTTGAAAAATGTTTTTAAATACATAAATACATATGTTTAGAGTTTTATTTATGTATTTGTACATGATAGTTATGTTTCAGTTAGTCCATACATGTTAAAATACGTATGGTTATGCTTGGAATTGATGGGATGTGTTTAGATAAAGTTTGAGATGAAAATCAACCTGAGCAGAGTTTCTGCAGGCCATCGGTCGACTGATCCGTCGACCGACGGGCATATTTCCAGTCATCAGTCGACTGATCAGTCGACTGACAGCTGGTTGTGTTTTCTCAGCTTCTCGGTCGACTGGTCAATCGACTGGTGAGCTGAGGCTATGCTGCCTGAGCCTTCATCAGTCGACAATGAGTCGACTGACGTCGTCAGTCGACACAATCAGTCGACTGACGAGCTGTTTTTACAGATTCTTCATCTGTTTGAGTTGTCTTTCGGGGTCGCCTCGATAACCTGACCCTAGCTTATTCATGTCAATGATTTATCTGTTCATGGGGATTGACTTTTGACATAAGTTTAGACATGTACACCGAGATGCATGAAAGTTTAGATTGTGTATATCTATCTGCATACACTTCTCAGTTGCACAGTCCTCGTGTTGGACTATAATCCATAGAAAGTCCTCGTGGTGGACTATAATCCATTTCAGTCCTCGTGTTGGACATTTAACCACTTATTCCATGTGTTTGGAAACCACAGTATTTAGTTCCTGCATCTGACATATCTCTTAACCCTGCATATGACTTCTTCACAGAAGTTCACGACATGATGTTGACATGACACTTATGCAAGTAATAAAATGACATTATAGCTAGTCATGGTATAGCACTGTAATTTGTTTGAGTTAACTGTATTTCTTGATTTATTGTTTCTGTACTAGAACCTCGGGTTTGGTGTTTAGAGATTTACGATTTGAGATACAAGTATATGAATGAGGGTTTCCTTGTTTGGATTATTCTCGCTCGACGTACCTATGCTCGTGTTAGTAACAATTTCTAAACACTAAAACCCTCTTTAGTAGGGTCAATGATTTTAGATCCATTATATATATTATTTGTATTTTCTTATACAACGAGCCCTTTTCCCTTGGGGTTGATTGTGATGTTGCTCGCTAGCGCTTTGACGCTCGTTGTCCCTCCCCCTTTCAGGTCACGAGCCAGGAGCCCGGAGAGTCGCAGGTTGATGGCGACACACTTTAGTGTTTAGCTGTATGTTATGTTTATGTTGGAGCTCCACTATAGATTTTGTTAGACATTTGAGAGTATTGTTTTAGAAGTTGTAAAGGCTGTGTGCCTTCTTTCATTCTCGTCAGATATTTGTATTTGAGACTTGTTGACCACTCCAGTTTATTTATTCAGACATTGACTATGTATTTTTATTTGTTGGGTGACGAGATATTTATTTGAACCACTATTATTTCATCAGCCCTTCATGTATTATCTTTTACTTGCTTTTGTACCTACACCTGTTATTGATTCTACTAGATAGATGTTAATTGTGATGGTGAAACTTGTTGTTGCACGGTGTGGTGCATAGCAGGTTTGACATTCTTGGTTTCACCTTGGACTGCAGCCTTGAGTGAACCCAGGGGCGTCACACGACCGGCTGACTACAAGTCTGAGAGACGCCTCAAAGTGGTGGCCGAGGAGGACGTTCGGTCGAGTCGTCTCTCAGCCAAGTAGCTGAGGAGAGACCTTAAGAAGGAGTGGTCGACCCATCATGCATCCGCGATGATTGTCAAGGACTTGGAGGATCGTTTAGCTCGCTTGGACTGGGAGAAACATAGGGCGAGGATAGTCAATGAGTGGCGCCATGGTCCCTTGGGTAAAACTGAGGTGGCATTGGCTTGCAAGGCAGACGACGGTGATGACGATGAGTCAGGGGATGATCTTGATGAAGACCCTCCCGCTTCCTCTTCTACTGTTGCTGCCAAAGCCCCTACTGATTCTACTGCTCCCGCTGCTGAAGCTCCTGGGGACTCTGCTGCCGCCAAGGACCTCCTAAGCCCGACTCCCGGATCTGGCCGAGAGATCTAATGGCTTATATCTATCTTCTTTTTTTTGTAACTATCTTCTTTTTTTTGTAACTATCGACATGCCTTGTTGTAAATAGACATGGATACTGTAATAAAGCTTGTAATAAAACTTTGTTGGAATAAAGATCAATTTTGCTCTTATACTAGAGTATGCTTCCAATTAGTCCTTATTTTTGCTTCGCTAGCTTGTTGCTTTGTTCTGACTGAGAGAACTAAGTGTTGACTGTAGTGAGCCGATCGTATTGAGACGACCCGATGGTTGAGATGACTGGACCATTCTACGCCTTTTACTGGCAAATGTTCGGGTCTTTTGCCGACGAGAATTAGCAAGTTGAAGTGTCTATCTTTTTTGTCGAAGATGACCGAACAATTGAACTTCATGCATTGGGTTTATCCATGATGGCACCAAGGGGTTTTTGGCAGAATGACAATCTGAGAGTTGGGTTCCCAGGACTTACGTAGATGCCTGATGCTTGGACAACCTGGAGGTTGCGCTTAGGATTTACAAAGTCGACTATGTCTTTTACAACCCTAAGGCCGTGCCTAGGACTTGCTGAAGTCGACTAGGTCTTTCGCCCCACGGTGGGTGCCAAACTGTTGATGTACTAGTGATTACACAATCAGTTATATCCGTGATTGGATGGTGTTGTTGAGTATTGATGAGGGGGCGCTTTCTTCCCTGACTTTATGTCTGGTTCTTTGAGTGGGATTGATAAATCTGCACAATTAGAAACTCGTGAGAGGACGGAGTTTGGTTCTCCAGTGGATCCTCCGACGATCAAGTTAGCTGGTGAGTTTGAGTGAGGAAAGGTAAAGAACTATGTACGTTCTTGTGTGTACAGTATATCTGCTTAAAGATCAAATTTTTGAACCGATTAGATTCAACCCCATTAAAGATGGAATAATATAGGTATTTATACCTAGGGTATAAGAGTAGATCAGTTACTTCGGCTGACTGCAGGATGGCGGTGGCGAAGTGTGGGCTGGCGGCTGAGTCAGCACCTACTTTACAGGTGTCGACTGGTGACTGGATGAGCGATCATCTCAGCATTAAATAGGAAGTGATTGGGGACATATGGCAGTGCCTGCGTGGTCCGATGAGTCATGAATGCTATCGGGGCTAGAGGCATGATGCGTCTGTCATGCATTAAATGCGATGCATACATGTTGCCAGTAGGAGATGCTCGAGGCAGAAGTTATCCTTTAACTTCGCCTAGAAGTAACGCCTTTCGAGTCATCCTCGCGGGGCATCCAGCAAATGGGTTGCACTTTGGCAAATGGTCGAGTGGCTCGTGGTGAGTCGTATTCGACAAAAGGGGACGACAAGTACCGCCTTTCGAGTCGACATGAAGGAATGTCGACTCGACAAGTCGGCTGAATTGTAGTCCCTGTTGGTCTCTGGCCGCCAACTTGATTGGGGCATAACATGCAGTACATCTATCCGTTACTTGGCAATGAGTTGCATTTTGGCAAATGTGAACACCATAAAACGTACAATGGTGTGACTATACTATTCATAGGTTGCGTATGTTAACGCTACTAATATGTGAGTATAATTTAACATCATGTTAAAAACAGTGATGAGTTTAAAATAAGAGTTAGGATTAATACTAGATGACTATAGATTTTTAGCTAAAATTAATTTTTAAAATTGGAATAAGAGAAGTGGGTGAAAAAGAAAAAGAAAAAGCATCCGGATAATCTGTGTCGTAGATAGAAATTATCGAAATTATTCTCTCAAAAAATTCACAAAGTTGTAATTGAGTTACACTATTGAGTTTCCTTATAAATACAGACAGCCATTCATTTCATATTTGAGCTCCGGGTGCATGAATCCACGCTTATTTTTTCAGAAAAGCCCTTGAGCAACAAATAATTGGCATTTGAGGGGGAGTCAGAGAGCCATGGAAGGAAGGAAATAAAACCCCAGGGCTAGATCCTCCCCCTTGTCCAAAGAGAGAGAAAATTGGTGAATAAATGAGCAGTATGCGGGAGAGACTGCGATACTCAGTTACCCTAAACGGAAACTGCAGGGTTCGGGCACAAATTAAAAGGAACAGAGGAAGAAGGAAGAGGAAAACTGAGCAAAACCCAAGAGGGGGAAAAACCCAGCGAAGGTACTTTTTAATCCATACAAGTTATTTCTGTCTGATTATTTTGTTGGGCTTATTCTTGCTTATCTTGTAATTTGAGTTGTGTCGACATGGGTCTTTGTTCTTGAGGTATGTGATGAATTATGATTAACTAATATCTGTTAAATGTTGGATTAATTAATCTAGATTTTAAGATTATTATTTAAAACCTTGAGCTTTTTATTAACACCCTGGAATTATTATTTGAAGTCTCCTATCCTGTTCAAGCTCAAGGCTTGAATTTTTGAAATGCCATCATTCGTTTCATGGCCTCAGCTATTTCAATAATGCAAGGAGGACCCTAGGCATATTTGTATATTGGAGCTCACAAACTGCAAGGTGCCATAGATGAGTTTGGATACAAATCCTCGATATCAAGCAAAGTAGTTATATGGAGTTGCCCTCATCATGTCTACTGTCTAGTCAGCTTATTTGGCTGAATGTCAGAACCAACTGCATTCGTATGATTGCCTTCTCTTTTTCATTTTCCCCCCACCTCGACCTGTCAAAACATTTTTGCCTAATTTCTATGCAACACTAAATTATAGCCTAAACATGCCAAGATTCTAGGATTCTAATGCCTAAAAGGTCATCATCGAAGATTGTTTATTCCGAAGAGGGCCAACTTGCTTCCCTATTTTGATTACCTATTATGGCAACCTCGTCATTAGGCATACAGGTCATGTTGATGCTAATCAAATATTCAAATACAAAAGAAAAGTGAGTACTCTGCGGATCCAAAACCCTTAAATTGATGTCTTCCATCATTCGTTCATGGGATCACCATCTGTGTCATTCAATGAACTGCTCAAAACCATGCCAGTTGTCCATACTTTTTTGAACTTATGTACTAAAAAAGAGACAGTCAGGTTTTAGAATAAATTCCCAGCAATGAAGCTTTGAGAGTCATTTCTCATCACGTTCGTCCTCTGATCCTAGGGAACCAATCAAAACTCTAGTCAACTTTAGGAATTTCAGGACCAACTTCAATCATATGATTTGCCTCTCTTTTCTTCTACCTCATTTATCCAAACATTTTGTCCAGTTCTGTTGCTATCTTAAGTCTAGCCCATCCACAGTTCAAAGTCAAACCTTGGAATATAATTGCTAAAGGGGTCATTAATATTTTGTAATTCCTAAATGAGTCAAGACTTATTTCTCCAATTTTATTACGAAATGCATTGCAAATTTAGTTTGATGCTATTTTTGTTGCAATAATGACACTGCAACCAGCATAATTTAGTTTGATTTTACTAGAGATTTGTAATTCCTAAATGAGTCAAGACTTAGTTCTCCAATTTTATTACGAAATGCATTGCAAATTTAGTTTGATGCTATTTTTGTTGTAATAATGACACTGCAACCAACATAATTTAGTTTGATTTTACTAGAGATTTAAAAAAGGTATGTATTGGATATATTTTTTGATGGATTTTCTTTAAAAATCAACATTGTGGTTTTGGAAAAAAAATACATGGTAAGTCATCAAGTTTAGTCCTACACATATTGTACATATTTTCAAAACTTACTTTATATATTGGACATATTTTTGATGGATTTTCTTAAAAAGTGAACATTGTGGTTTTGGGGGGAAAAATTACATGGTAAGTCATCAAGTTTAGTCCTACACATATTGTACATATTTTCAAAACTTACTTTGACCCTTTTCTCATATTGCCACCAATAGAAATGCTCCATTCATCTCATGTGTCCTTAGTGTTTCAATAATCTGTGAATACAAATGAAAATCTTAATAACACAAATGTGCATGCACGCACAAGTACACATATACACTTGTTTTTGGTATTGGAGTATATTTGTCTTACATCAAGGAATACTGGGTGTAATTATATCAATGTCATTAAGGCTTTATGATGAATTAAAAACTAGCACGAGAACACTTGGAAAGTGACAATTTTCTTATGAGGCAACCACAATATGTTTGCATGAAAGGTTAACATATCCTTGTCCCTTGCATTTGTTGTTAATTGTGATTTATCTTGCTAGAGGATGAGGTTTATAAGTATATAGTTGTTAAACTATATAAAGGACAGAGCAACACCACAAATATCACTCCCTTCAACAATAAAGCATTTATAATTTAAATAGTTTGGAGTTAGCATATATAACTTTTTGAAAAAGATTATGAGAAGAAATACAGACACTTCTCATAGTATTGGTCTAGAAACACAATATGGTGGACCCATTTGGTTCATAGCCATGTTACCCAAGAAAATTAGAGGGGTGTGAGAGGGATTTTTTTTGAGAAAATAGAGAATTCATGGTAGAGAAAGAGATTAAGTATCATAATCAAAATCAAGATCAATTCAAGAAATAAGATCAAGATTGAGATTGAAATTGAAGGAGACATCAATTTAAGAGAACAAAATGCAACCTTACCCATTGCAAAAAAAATAAAAGAATTAAAAAAACTCAAGTATTCAACCAAGTGCAAGTTTTGAACCTCATAAGTGAGGTCTAAAAAACCATGTTCTAGTCTAGCAATCTTATACTAGTATGATACTTGTCATGCTCTAAAATAAGGTCACACTAGACCCATTTGTTTCCTAGCAACTTGCCAATTGTCAAAAGGATTTGTTTATTCCTAATAAAAGGAGCCAATTAGCTACAGAAAAAGTACATATTCTCCTAACACGTTTTATTGTCTCCAACTTCATATTGTTTCACTGGTTTTCTGTCCTATATTTCAGCATATGTCTACTCACCATCTGAACATTTTTATTTAAACATTGCTCATTCTTGTAGACATGTTCTTTCAATTGCTTAGTTTTTTTAACCATAAAATATAGCTGGCCATCTTTCAGTTGTTTATTCTGTTGTTCGTTGTTCAGCTTGCAAAAATATCTCTTGAATATATATATACACACACACACACACACACACACACACACACACACACACACACACACACACACACTATCTGACTCATGACACAGTATATTTAGCCATCTGGTCAATAATAGTATATTTCTGGTTTAATAACATGTAAGAAGTGAGCTTAGTACTGTGAGCTATTGTAACCCGTATTATCTTTGCACCCTCAAGGCTATTTAACTGTAATAGGAGTAATCTTTTATGAATGTTCTTACATTTCCATCTATTTATTTTTAATAGTCTGGGATAACATATATTAAGTTAGGCAGTTAAGTATAACTAGCATGAGGGATGGTTAGAAGTTTGTTCATTGGCAACACATCCCTTATTCTTTGGTCTCCTTGTGATTGTACGATCACAATTTTTGACATGTTTAGTTCAGATTATTTTCAAACTACTAGAAAGAAAGAAGAGGTCCAGAATTAATCCTTTGATTGAAGGGGTTTGTCAGTGTTTACATCTCAGAGAGCATATTGTAAAGTAAATATTTTTTCATTGTTACATTTTCATCTAGTGCAGGATTATACTCTTTTTCAGAAACTGTTTATATCTGGCATGGCATGATATTGATGAATGAGCTGTTGAGAGGCACATTTCCCTTTCTTTTTTTCAGGAGGTATTACTTTTTGGGGAAGACTTGAATTCCCTTGCTCTGCTGGTTGTTGGGATCATTAGCACAGAAACAAGGCATATGCTTAATATGTTATAGTATTGAATGACTTACATTTTTTTTGCTAGCCTTTAATACTTTGAAACTAACATTTTGATTATTAACCAGATGGACAGTCTGGTACCTCAGTCTTCTGCCTTTCAAGTTGCACTTCTGTTGTTTATGGAATATGTCGACCTTGGGAAGTTGGTAGCGGCTATAGAAGGGGGATCATGTTTTGGACTTGGCTTACTGCTACTGCTTTTCTACAATTGTACTGCTGTTCTGTTGCAATGCCTAGCAAGTTACATCTCTCTTGTCACTGGAAAGGACCTTGCACAGGTACCATTTTCCTTTTACACCACCCCCTGCCCCCACGCGGCAGGGGAGGGTAGTCGCAAGGGTATTTTCCAATGGATTAATGAGATTCATATGTGTCATACTTTATTGCTCATTTTAAAATGGAATTGTTTTAATCCTCGGAACTATGTATCGAATAATGATGGATTAAAGATACCCAAGCCTCTAATCTTTCTTTTCTATTATTGCTTATGCATTAGCATTAAATTATGATCACTCAGAATGATGTACTAAGTGCATAGTAAGCTACCTAGTTTGTTCTCTTCATATAAGTCTCTGTGTATGCATACATTTGCATGCATATGTAGCACATCCTCTTGTCATAGTTGATAATAGCTGTTTTTGACTTTTCTCTGTTTGTGTTTCAAAAGGTTTGCAGTGAGCAATATTCTAGGCTGAGTTTTGTTCTTCTAGGGACTGCAATTGAGCTTTCGATGATTGCATCAGATGTGACAAAGGTAGTTGATATGCGTTATCTAATTATTTGAGTAAAATTTGTCCATCATATTTTCATCCTGAACAGACCCTGAGCAATTAGGTTCTTATTCTCTTTAGAACAAAATTACTAACTCCTCCTTAAGGTATTGGTGAACTCTCAACTCCCCCCCTAAAGTATCAATTTACCTATTCCCTCTTAAACTATGTGTATGTGCCAATGTCACCATTTTATGAGCCCACAGTCATTTATTTAATAGATCAATGACATGACAGTGTTTTTTATTTGTTGCATTTCCTCATGGCTTTTATTAGCTTGTCTCCTTTTCCCGCAACCCATAAAAATTTTTGAACTACTTTTCGCCAATTTTTTTACACTTTATCCCTTTTTTGAATTGCATAATCATTTTTGGAATTGCAGAAAATACATGAAATGCAAAAAAAGTCACGTCATCAATTTGTTAAATATTTGATTTTAGGCTAAGAAAATGATCAGATTGGGCACATACACATATTTAAGGGGTGAAATAGACAAATTGTTATTTCATGGGGGAAGTTGAGAGTTTCCCGATACTTTAAGGGAGGATTTGATCACTTTGTCCTTCTACTTATCATGGTTTGCAAATGTTGAAGTCATTTCATGGGTATTGCAGATTCTAAGTGTTGCATATGGGTTTCACGTGTTGTTTGAGATGGATTTATTCACTTGCACCTCTTTAGCATCCATTCTTTCTGTTGTGCTTCCTATCTTCGTCTTCTCCTTGGTAAGGTGTCCTTATATATGTAACTATGTACATACCATCTGTATACTATTTTCTACATGCAAATGTATAAATATTTTAATTGGTACAGATGCACATTCATGTGTGTGTGTAATGTGTACATGTGTGTATACGTGCGCGCGCATGCATGTGCTTGTGTATAGATACATGCATGCATAGTGGGTATTAGTTGACAACTCATTTTACTAAATAGCTGTCAAGAGATATAATAGTGGTGGCTGGTCAGGCCCACCTTGCTTGTCACATTGAGTTAGGTGGATCTCACCACTTTCTTTTTTGGTAGCTTATTTAGCTAAATGAGGTGACGGCTCATAACCAATACCCCCACTTATACATATGCAAACAGAAGTACTGAATTATTGTTATCAGCATGTAACATATAGGCACATAGGCAGAGTGTACCCACTGTAAATCCGTAATGTTGGTGCTTTTTTATTTTGTATAAAGGGATATCACAATTTGAAGGTGCTACATGTTAGCATAGCAATCTTCTCATCGCTCTTTTATGTGCTTGGAGTGCACCTTATTCAGCTGGAAACTTCATTTTCCCCACATAAGGCATACTCAGATGTGAATTTGAAGAATGCTCATACAGTAATGGCTCTTCTTGGTGCACAGATAGTACCTCACAATTTCTACATTCAACCTTATATTATACAGGTACCTGAAATATTTTTTTTTTCTGGTCATGTGTTTTATGATCTTCATGCCTTGCCTTTTTTTTTTTAATATTCTTCAGCGGAAAAAAAAGAAAAAGAAATTTACAATTGGTTTTCATTTGCACATTCTATTAATATTTGCTTTTCAGCTTTCATGTTTTTTATGCAACACACAAACACGTGTGCGTGTGCACAACAAACTCTCACACAATTATTCTGCTGTATATCATATATATTTGAGTAGGTTCTCTATGCAAAACACGAATCGTTACTATCAATAAGATTCCCAACGCTTGTAGCAAGGAGTAGTAGCAGGAGTTGGTAAAAAAGCAGATCTACTGTTACTGTAAAGAGGAAGGGCATACCAAAGTCACATTTTTGGAAGATACATATTGGTATTTACACTTAACATTTGCACCAGAGAAGTTCTCATGTTCTAGGAGTGTACATTTGTTTGAAACATACGTAGAGATGTTTCAGCAGTTTCAAAATGACTTGGTGCTATTTTATTCCTTAGTTACCACCTGCCTCTCATCCTTGCCCCTAGAAACTGGATAATTGATTTAGGGGTTTTTAAACATATATATGTTTGGGATATACACATTCTTTCAACTTTGTCCTTGTTCTTCATCTCCTTGTTTAATAAATAGAAAATACTTGGATAAGAATCATTATGTGTTAAATGGATCAAGAGTAAATAAAGGAGCTAGTAGCCATTTTGACCTTGTTTATTCAAACACTTGGTTCCATGTCTAAATGTCTCTCTAGAGATTTTTTTTTAATGTACATATATGACTTATTTTTGTGTTCTGATAACTTATTGCCAGTGGGACTAACTTCTTTAACAAATCTCACACCATTTCTTTTTAATATCTGACATTTTGTTAATTTGGTGCAGCTACAAAGGAAACAGTTAGATGCCAGTATGAGTGTGGTGCTTCAGACCCATCTTTTTACTTTTGTAGGCAGCTTCTGTATTCAACAGTTATAGCTTTCTGCCTACTTTCCTGGATGCTTTTTGGTTGATGAACCAGGTTAACTCCATTTACCAATGGGTTTTTGATGTTCATTTAAATCTGTCTTTTGTTGCATATTTCATGTAATAAAAGAAGGGAAACAACGATATTCAATGTACTCAAGCCGCATACTTTTCACGGTCTTTTTGCAGGATTTTATTATTATTACTATTATTTTATTTTTATTTTTATTTTTATTTTTGCTTTGTCTCATGTTATTGATAGTTCAACCTAGTTTCTAATGCATTTTCATTAAACTTTTCTTGTGTGCTCAGTTTTCTTTATACATTATCATTTATCATTAAACTCTTTTTGTGCATAGTTACAAATCTACGCACCAACATTATACCCAACTTAGTGGATCCGATTTCCAGGGCCGGGAGATATATGCTTCATCAGTTCATCTATTCCTGATCATGCCTGTTTTTCTTATCATAAATTAATCCAATCCATCACATTGCTTATGACCTTTCTTAACTGTCATATTAACTTAGAGATACCTTAAGCTAAGGATCTGAATTTCCAGATATAATGTTAAGAAAGACTTTTCTGTGACATACTAAGTTTAGAACCCTAGGGTCATTATATCAAGATAGGTTTAAATGGAAGATGTTGTTGTACCATCAAGAATTCTCAAGAAGAATTCTTCTCTCCAATCTAGTAAGTTGATCAAATTGATTTTTAGAAGGATTTCGTGCGTATAATGGTGGGGATTAAATGAAGGTGTGCAAAATGACAGGACCAAACTAGTGTTAGGGATGAGCAATGCTGAGAGACTGAGACTCAAGGGAATGATATTTGATCAAGTAGATTAACCTAGCTCATCCCCATTTGTGGGCCTTTGCAGCCCAACAAATTAGTGTTAGATTCCATGGCTCGACTGACCTTTGTTTCAAGAGTCTGTTAGTACGCGTTAGGGCTAAAAGGTGGAGTGCATATGAAGTTGTGTATGATGGTAACTTAATCCAGTATGGTTAAATCATTTTCAATCAATTTGGGTCCAATTAGATTAACCTATACATCTCTGTATGCAGGCCTTTGTAACCCAACGGATTTTCATGTCTAATTCTGACGCAAAGCAGTCATCTCGTCATGCATGACACTTGTTCCATCCAAAATCCTATAATTCTCATGATAAAAATTTGGAGCAAAGATGGTACATAAAATGGAACCAAATTGGCTCGTACCAAAGTCGGATGGTTATGTATCATTTATTTATAGGGAAACAATTATACAAACTTCCCATAAGTGATTGAACTAATTAACATACCACTCTAATGCATCTACTGATTCTCAAGAAATGGTATTAGACCCTATGGTTCCTTGGACTTTCAGTTTGACTAGGTGAGCAACAACACTTCTAGTGGTCTCTCTTCCTCAAACCGGGTCGGCCTTTATATCATCGATATGGCATGTTATAAGTTCTATGATGCATGTCAAGATTATTTTTTTACATTGCCATAATGGCATAAAACGTTAACACCCATTCTCTTAGGTTTCTGACCCCCTTTGAGGCATTGATGACAGAATAATGAACATAAAAGGAAAGCAAGTGACTCAAAATAGGAAGTTGTTACCCCGGTCTATTTCCCCGCAGTGGGATGATCAGAGAAAGTTTCATAGGATGAAGTTCTTGCAAGGACAAACATAGGTCTGCCTCTATTATTCTTGTCTTGGGTGGACTTTCACTTTTTAGGCAAAAGCATTCATGCATAGAAGTAGACTAAAGAAAGGATGGAGTACATGAATAGATAAAGAGATAGGTAGGATTAAAACTTTTTTTAGTTACGGTAGAATTGAAGTTTTTATTTACAACTTCCACCTATTGTAAGAGGAGAAGGGAATGCTTTCCTTTGAAGATACTACCATGCCCACATTTATGCACAAACCAGTCTAAATGCGAAATCTACTTTTGAGGTTAACGCTTGTTACTTCAGAATGAACAAAAGTTGATAAAATAATAAAAGAGTACTAAATAATGAAGAAAATTAGAAGAGGGGTAAGAGAAAAAAATTTGAAAAAGATAGGTACATAAACATTTCCCCCTTTTTTGATTCTTGTCTTAAGCTCCTAGATGCACCTTCATTTCTTATCTTGTGCTGGCTGCTATTAAAGAGGGTTTCATTTCTTATCTTGTGTTGGCTGCTATTAAAGAGGGTTTCGGTACATATGATTTTCGTTAAATATACTTGCACCCAAATATCAAGTGTAGTCTTCTTTGTTTGAAATATAACTCGAGCCTACTCACTCGTTGATTATGCTTTTCTTTTTCAGTCAGATGACTAACCAGTCATCTGATCACTCATCTGGCTGGTAAATCAGGCCAAACCCCAAATTCCAAGTTCGTCATTAAATCTAAATTCTTGCGGTCTTATTTGTGGCTATTGATTAAGGGTTTGTAAAATGGGTGTGTTCTCACCTAGAATTTCTTAGAGTGATCTTGGGAAAAACATCTTCCATAAGGAGTCTTCCATGGTGGCAAGAAAAGAGGAGGAAGATGAGGAGCCTTCCATCAAGTATTTAAGTTTTATAGAGGAATTCTAGGTGAGGAGCCTTCCATCAGGTATTTGGAGAGAGGATTTTTATGGATTCCATCAAGTATTAAAGTTTCATGTAGGTATTTGGAGAGAGGAATTCTATGGACATAGAGTTATGTTTCTTTAAAGATCAAGCGAAGGATTGAAGATTCTTTCATAAGGGATCGTATAGCGATCTAGATGGAACATAAATGTGCGTCTAATCTCTTGTACTTGCTTTCTTATGTAATGAAATCTCTGGTTCTCATGGAGGTAAGAGCGGTACAACTAAACTGCATAACTCGTTGCATTTTTATATATTACAACTTTTGTGCATGCTTTCTCTAGCGTACCTGATAGAAAGAAGATTCATAAGGTTTGATTGTTCTTCCAATTTCTAATGTCATGCTTGCTGAAAGTGATGTATCCATGCTTGTCAGAATACAATATCTTGCATGTCTGTAGAACATTTGGTGCAACACTAATTTACTTAAAGTAAGGTGCACTTTGTCAAGGCTAATGCATGGAATAAGTTCTGATATGTACTTAAACTTTTTCCATTGCTGTGCTATTAAAATTATTTTCTATGCATTATGGATGAGTGTCACAAACAAAGCACACAAACAACTCTATCACGGTTCTTAGCCCGAGGTAGCTTCTATGTCAAATATGTGAATATTGGTTAGTCACAAATCAAATCTGATAATTTTCCTTTAAAACGTTGCACCTAGATCTATAAGAAGAGAGATCTTAAACTGTTAGATTGTTTCTGCAGTTTAATGAATTCCAAACTAAAAGTAGATTACTCAAAATAGTTTTTTGTCTTATTTTTGGAATTGTTAATGCACTTTTTTTAGCTACCTTTAGTTTGAGCAAGAAATCATATTTTAAATAAAATTTGTCTTTCTAAAGTTATTGCCATTAATTTGTTATTGTCATTGATCATAATTTAGGTATTTCTGGTTGTGTTAGGTATGGTATGCTATCATGTTTCTAGTAAGCAGAGTTAAAACTAAATAAATGTGCTTCCTTATCTAGACCAAATTTATTTTAGAAAGACAGTATAACTAAAAAAATTGTTATGTTAATTTTGATAATTATTAGAAGGAATTAGACCTTACCTAGGTGTATATTATACTAACTTATAATGTGGTTTATTATTTTTGAATTTCATGACTATGTATTTTGTATATTTGGTTCAAGGGGAAATAAAATTTTCAGTAATTTTTATCTTCCAATATTATGGAAATGGGTTAGAGGAAATAGATATAAATAACTATCATGATATGCAAAGAAATTCGGTTGAAACTTAATATATACGTTTCTCAAGCTAGACTAAGTTATGGTCCCAAAATTTTTCTATAAAATATAATTAGCTAAAAAACATTTATCTTTTAGAAAAAGATCAATTATTGATGTTAGATTGCATATAAATTTAGCAAACTTTTCATCATTATACTGGTTCATGGATCTATTTTGTAAAAATGAATCTCATCTTGAGATGATAGTATATTAGTAGCAACAGGCACCACTTTATGCTGTTCATCTGCATGTTACTGTGTGCAACAGGTTATATAAATTCTTGCTGATAAGGCACAATCTTGACAAGTTTTTTCTTCTTCCAGATGTTTAGGAGTCCAGCAGCAGCATTCCTCTTTTGTCTGTCTTTTCTCTTGTCAAGTCTTGTGGCCTCTATAACCCATGGTTGTGTTGGACAAGTGATTGCTTATCATTTCTTCCTTATCAAACCTCCTGTTTGGGTTTTACACATCATCGCCAAAGTTTTTGCTGTTTCCGCAGCTTTATACTTTACACAAGGGGCTGGTTCAGAGGGAATTTATCAGCTGCTTGTTTTTTGTCAAGTTATCTCAGCTATTCTCCTGGTACCTTCTGCGATTCCTCTCTTCCAGCTATCATCGTCACAATCAACAATGGGTGCTTTCAGGATCTCTCCTATTGTCGAATTTCTTTATGTGATCGTCTTCACGGGGATGCTACTGACAAATGTCATTTTCATTACAGAGTTGATATTTGGAAACAACAGAATACCAGTTGACCTGTGGCTAAATATGGAAAATGATTTCCCCAGCCTCTATTCTTTTTTCATTCTTCTTGCCGTGGCTTCCCTTTTCTTTGCTCTATACCTGTTTTTTACACCACTAAGACCTTCAATAAATGAACCATGTGTGAAAATATCTACTGAGAAGTTGCAAAACGTGCAAGCCAAGCAATCACAGCCTACGGAAGAAAATGGTTCAGTTGAGGTTTTGGACAATGGATATCGGAATCCTATTGGAAAATTAATCCGTCAGAGCTCTCTAGATCTGGATACAAAAATCAAGTCTGCGGAGGGTTGTCATAAATCTGATCCTATCCCTAAACCATCTACAGCATATACTTCTTACATCATACAATCTAATGGAGTGAATTTATTACTCAAAAGAGTTGTGCCCCCTGAAGATGATCAGCTGATTAGTTCTTCTGAGCCTCAAGATTTGTCTCATATTTCTGAGTCTAAAATTAGTGGATCTAATAAGTCCATGATAATTGGCAGTGGTAAAGAGGCAGCCTCTGAATTTGGCCGTGGAAGTAAGCGACAACTAGCTGCTATTCTAGATGAGTTCTGGGGACTTCTATTTGACTATCATGGGAAGCTCACCAAAGAAGCAAAGAGCATAAGAGCAGCTATCTTGGTAGGTTTGGAATGTGAACCACGTCCTAGCTGTGAGTTAGAAACTGAAAGTAAACTGAAGCTCAAGTCCAAGGAAGCAGTTTCTTTGGCAGTTGTAGATGGTTCTGAATCCAATAACTGCTTGATTTTGAGCCGTGAGACGTTCTGGTCCAAAAATAATTCCGTTCCATCTGTGAATTTTGTCGAGGTAGATAAAAATATATATTGCCCACATGAGACTTTGACTTGGGGAGGCAAGATTATACACAGCACATCCGGTGCTCCTAAGAAATTCCTGACATATGGAGAATCAGAACGGCTTGTTCTTCAGTCTCTTCGACTTTGCATTAGAAAGCTCTTGAGACTGAATAGCTCAGGTTGGTTATTCAGTCAGAATGGCGGACTTGATGAAGAGCTGATAGACTATTTGGCTATGTCAGAGGGTCTTCTACACAAGGATGAGTCCCTTGAGGAACAAGAGGAACTAATTGTTTTCCTTCCCAGTATATCATATTGCGGTAAAGGCTGTATTTGGCAAGCTAGTTTAGTTGTGAGCTTTGGCGTCTGGTGTATTCGTAGAATATTGGAGTTGTTACTGACGGAGAGCCGACCAGAAATCTGGGGGAAATATACTTATGTCCTTAACCGTCTTCAGGTAAATCTCCAAATTCTTTCACATTCTTCAGTCAGAACACCCGAGTGCAACAGGGTGATCTATACCAAATACAGGATGGTTCTCATAGAACTTCTATTCTTTCTCGAGCAACATGAATATTTACATGGTATATGTATTACAGGGAATTATTGATCCGGTTTTTTGCAAGCCGAGAAAAATCCAGTCTCCCTGCAAGTGCCTAGAGGCATGCAGTTATGACAGGGAAAGCTCTGGCACATTAAAGATCACAAGCAGGAGCTGTGTTCTTGAGTTGGTTAAGGGAGCGGAAGCCTATGTATCTGCACGCAGAGGTCGAGCTGGCACAGCAGCAGCAAATATCGCCTTCCCTAAAGGAAAAGAGAACATAATATCGGTCCTGAAGCGGTACAAGCATAGGCTCTCAAAGATATCACCCTGAAAAGTAATAAAATCAGAATCTGAGGATAGATGATGTATCTTTTGAGGACATAGATTGTTACTTGGCTTGTTCGCTGGATTTTCTTTTTTTTTCCTGCCTTTGATGGGTTTCTGGAATAATAATCTTCTAGTGGTAAGTCCAGAATATCATCAATGCTATGACTGGCGTGGTTAGGAAATGGAAAAGTTTCTTCCGTGTGCTTCTGGTTTGATACGTCATTAAATTTTTACCTTAAAATTTTACCACTGTGTTGCAAATTTATGGTAAATAGTGAAAATTCCCGTGTTATACGATAAACTGTTTGTATGGCCTAGCATGACTGAGAAATCAGTAATCTCAGCATGAGTAAAATACCTGCAACACTTTTCAAACGAAAATAGTCATTATGTAATTGCTTATAAGGTTGATAATTTGGTTTTTTGAAAGGGAAAAAATGCTTCCAGCCCCCAAAAGCTAAGGAAACGTGCTTCCCATCTCCAAGATTTAGTCAATGGGTGTTTTACCCCTAAAAATAAAGATTCTGTTCTCTGAGCCCCCAAAACACAAAACCCAAGAGATTAAAATATGTGAAGATCATAATACCCTTCTCTCTCTCTTTCTTTTTTTATTAAAATATGATGAGGATTATTTTATTATTTTCGTTTTCTCTCTCTCTCTTTATCATAATGTACTAAGATGATAGTTAAAATGATTGATGATGATTATTTTATTATTTTTGTTTTTTTTATTATTTTCGTTGTTTGTATTGGGAGATTGTTAAAGTTACGGGTTAATTGTTAAGGTTACGAGTTAATTGTTAATGTTACGGGTTAATTGTTAAGGTTATGAATCCTCTTTCTTTCTCTCTCTCTCTCTCTCATGATGTTACTTTGATAATATTGAAATGATTGAAGAGGATTATTATTTTATTATTTTTCGTTTTTTATTCTTTTCGTATTTTTAGAATATTCGTTGTTAATGATAATGGTTGGTTGTAAAGGTTATGTATTGTTTGTTAAGGTTACGGGTTGGTTGTTAAGGTTACGGGTTTGTTGTTAAGGTTATGGGTTGGTTGTGTATGTTACGGATTTGTTGTTAAGGTTACGTGTTTAATAATTGTTAAGATTACGGGTTTAATTATTAAGGTTACGGGTTTAATTGTTAAGGTTACGGGTTTAATTGTTACGGTTACGGTTTAATTGTTAAGGTTACGGTTTAATTGTTAAGGTTATGGGTTTAATTGTTAAGGTTACGGGTTTAATTATTACGGTTACATGTTTAATTGTTACGGTTACGGGTTTAATTGTTAAGGTTACGTGTTTAATTGTTAAGGTTATTGTTACGGTTACGGGTTTAATTGTTAAGGTTACGTGTTTAATTGTTAAGGTTACGGGTTAATTGTTAATGTTACGGGTTTAATTGTTAAGGTTACATGTTTAGTTGTTAAGGTTACCGGTCAATTGTTAAGGTTATGGATCCCTTCTCTCTCTCGTAACCTTAACAATTAAACTCGTAACCTTAACAATTAAACCGTAACCTTAACAATTAAACCGTAATCTTAACAATTAAACCCGTAACCTTAACAATTAAACCGTAACCTTAACAATTAAACCGTAACCTTAACAATTAAACCCGTAACCTTAACAATTAAACCGTAACCTTAACAATTAAATCCGTAACCTTAACAATTAAAACCGTAACCTTAACAATTAAACCCGTAACCTTAACAATTAAACTCGTAACCTTAACATTAAACCGTAACCGTAACAATTAAACCCGTAACCTTGACTAAACACGTAAACTTAACAATTAAACCCGTAACATTAACAACAAATCCGTAACCTACACAACAAACCCATAACCTTAACAACAAACCCGTAACCTTAACAACCAACCCGTAACCTTAACAAACAATGCATAACCTTTACAACCAATCATTATCTTTAACAACAAATATTCTAAAAATACGAAAATAATAAAATAATAATCCTCTTCAATCATTTCAATATCATCAAAGTAACATCATGATAGAGAGAGAGGGGGGGGATTCATAACCTTAACAATTGACCCGTAACATTAACAATTAACTCGTAACCTTAACAATTAAACCATAACTTTAACAATCTCTCAATACAAACAACGAAAATAATAAAAAACGAAAATAATAAAATAATCATCATCAATCATTTCAACTATCATCTTAGTACATTATGATAAAGAGAGAGAGAGAAAATAAAAATAATAAAATAATCCTCATCATATTTTAATAAAAAAGAAAGAGAGAGAAGGATATTATGGTCTTCACATATTTTAATCTCTTGGGTTTTGTGTTTTGGGGGCTCAAAGAACAGAATCTTTATTTTGGGGGGTAAAACACCCATTGACCAAGTCTTGGGGGTGGGAAGCACGTTTCCTTAGCTTTTGGGGGCTGGAAGCATTTTTCCCTTTTTGAAATTGTGGTGCGTTCAGCAAACATGAATGTTACCTATTTAACTTTATTTAAGATCTACCTCTAGACATGAAGTTAATTTGAAGAGTATACCAGTGACGAGCTATATATATCATTAGGTTCTGCACTTAATCATATCATACTCCCTTTAAAAGCGCGGGTTCGAGAAAATCTTTCGGTAGACAAAAATACCCTTCCATTAAGTAATAGGGAGTTGATAAATAGATGATTTCTTATTGGATATACATAGTATGAAGATAATGATATAGTTTAAATTGAAATGTAAACCTTAATGAAATTATTGAATATCAAATTTACAAATGTATACAAGATGAAGGGTGTATATGCAAAAACAAAACAAATTAACGAGATAAATAATGTTTGCCGTAAAGGTCGAACCTAAAAATAGTACAGACCTACAAATGTACATAGTGTGAACGAGATATTTGCAAAATCCATCAAAGAAATTAAAGAGACAAAAGTTGTTCTCAAATTATAAAAAAAGGAAAATTAAAATAAACGACTACGATCTAAGGACATAATGTGACGATCTCTCACCGACTAAAATTCAAGTAGTTCATAGTACTGCATAATTAGTTTTAAAGTTTAATTATACTATTATTATTTAAATAAAACTTTATTTACAATGCTATCTTCTCACATGCAACATCACATATCAATATATATAAGCCAAGAAATTACAATAAATTTCATAGTACTTTCATCTCCTTCTATAGGTGTGTGTCTTTGTTATTTTTTTCTTATTAGATTAGATTAGATTGTTTAAATATTATGAAATATGAAATAGCAACAATTTTTAGAGCATTTTTATCTATTTTCTTCTTATTAGATTAGATTAGATTATTTTATAGCAATTAACTATATTATATGTTTGATCTTTTTTTAAGATCAGAAATTACAATAATTTTTTTATTTTATAGCAATTAACTATATTATATGTTTGATCTTTTTTTAAGATCAGAAATTACAATAATTTTTTATAGCACTTTCATCTCTTTTAACAGGTATGTGCCTTTGTTATTTTCTTCTTATTAGATAATATTAGATTGTTTAAAAATTATGAATTATGAAATTGTAACAATTTTCACATCACTTTTATTTATTTTCTTCTTATTAGATTAGATTAGATTAGATTATTTTAAAGTAATTAATTATATTGTATATTTGATTTTTTTCAGATCACAAAGTTTAATTATATTATTATTATTTAAATAGATATTGTTTGTATAAAAGTCAAAGAGAATCTCACACGTATCTTAGATCTCAATGTTAATTGTAATACTTACATATGAGTGTTGGTTAAAATAAATCTTATGTATATGCTTAACTTATATGATCCTACTTTAACCGGATTAGATAATTTATTTTTTTTTTACACTCAAACTCCTCCACAAAACCAAAAGAGAGTAGCAATGCTATAACTATATATATCCATAAGACCACAAATATCTCAAAAATGAATGAAGAAAACCACACAAACAAAAACCATATTAATTACCCATAGACACCACTGTTTTGAAAACCACCCTTCTCAATGCCATCTATAATATATCCATATACCCAAATTAAGTTGCTGGAGTTTTTCCCTCACAAACTACACCATTGATCAATCCTTATTTTTTTCCTTTGTACTTAGATTGTATAACATTCATTGTGATGAGGACTAACATGGGTCCTCTGTCTACTTTGAACGCCCACTAAAAAAATAATGTACTAAACCTTATAGTTAGTAATAATGAGACCCTGTCATTATAAACAAATTAAGTAAAGATTAATAATTCTTAAGAATGTATTACGTTCCCCAATCTTCCACTGCAAACTTGTTAGTGTTTATTCTGGCCCCAAGATATTTTTAAAATTAATCTTGAGGGTTGCGTGTATTAAAAAAGTTATGTTAGAAGGTCCAAATAGTTTGTTTTATAATTTAAGATTGTCAACACATTTTGTCTCTGATGCATATCAATTATGAGTAATAATATAATTTGATTGATCCAAGTATATCCTAATATATTTCTAGACTCTTGTCTTGTCTTTAGCTCTTTATTATATACCAATATGATATCACAATTGATGTAGACGATGAAAGCACTACTGTAGAATTGCCCAAGAAAAAGCTAAAGATGGAGAATGATTGATCTCAACTCAATTAAATATGAATAAAGAATGAATAAAGATAATATTGTTTGAATATTTTATAGTAAAACTTAATTTTTGAGTAAAATTAGGAACCTTTAAAAGGGATTTTCATATAAAATTTTTAATACGCTTATGTGAATGATTTTATTATATAAAATTATACTAGACTCACCATTAATCTTTAGTATTTATTTTTTATTTTAAGTTTATCAATAATTAAGATGTCTTCCAGTCTTGTTAAAAGTATGTGCTTTGTGCTGAGCTTATATAAGTCATCTTAATACTAAGTATTTGGTTATATTTTTATTAACACATCAATAATATATTATTATATTTTTTTAAACTTAACACTATATTTAATGACTAGGATGAATAAATTGGACATCGATGGTTTAATCCGATAAATATGCTACATGAAGTTTGATATATACAAATTTTAAAAATAATGTTGTGTATGGAAGTATATAAAAGTATATTGATCCTAGTTTTACACACAAATCTATTTTATATTTTTTTTAAATGTTTAAATAAAATTTATGGCAAAAGTAATAATCCATGTTTATAGATTTTAATTCAAAATGAATCTGACTTATTTTATAGTAAGAAAATAAATTTAAAAGATATATAACCACATGCATTGCACGTGCACAAGAACTAGTCATATCATATCATACTCCCTTTAAAAGAGGGAGTTGTGGAAAAACTTTCTAATGACTATATTACACATATTCTCTTTTGTTATTACATTCTAATACTAACTAAACTAAATTAATTATCATTGTTAATTAATTACATTATATGTCACTTTAAGTTTTCATAATTTGGTCCTTAGAACTTCCAACGTTATTATAAAACTCTACATCATATTAATTATTAGTAATGTATAATAATATATTAATAGATAATTGCATGTCAATAAAGTATTTATGGAAAGTATAAAAAACATAGAATTATCCTAAAATTATACCATGAAACTCATATAGAAAAATTACAAAGAGCATTCTTATGTTTAGATAACAAGACAGAAGGTACAAACGTTAAATTTTAGAAAATATTATGATATTTAAGCACTTCAATATACATTATCTAAAATTAAAAAAAAAACGCATCAAGATACAAGTGTAGGTATATAAGTATAATTTTGGTAAACTACAAGGTATTTAAGTTCAGTTAAGCCTAGAAAAGAATTGAAACCTTTGTTATCTATAAACAATAATATATGATCCCATTGACAAATAATATTCATCATACAATATGAGGCTAGATGCTTAGCTTATATTTATATAGTAGAGGAGATGTGAAAAAATTAAAGCATCATATTTTAATTAAATCATCATATTTTGAATGGGTCTCAAGTTTTTGAATTATTTCTTAAAATTATATACTTTACTTAGAAAACTTTAGAAGAGGTTTTTGAAGGACTACTACAAAGTGTTTGACATTAAATAAATATTAAAAAACTAAATTCCATAATATCGGGTAATAAAAACCAGGGATATGTATGTAAGACTAAGTGTCATATGAGTAAATATTCATACATAACATGACATTGTAATATGTAATCTAACATATTAATGAATTTTAAATATAAGAATTTGCATCAAGATATATGTTTAAGATTTGGGAGAGCCTAGAGTGGAGAGATTTGAGAGAAGAATTGTGGCCTTTGTGGGTTTTGCAGGTTTCGATTTTATTTCCCAAACACGATCCAAACCTCAGCCCACAATCAAATTTAAAAAAAACATGATTTTATCGATATCTTCAAAGGGATATATCGCCCATATTTTCGATAACGGTCGATTTATCAAAAAAATCAACAAACTAAAAAAAAAAATATTAAATATTACCAAGATAAAGTCTTTAACCCGATATAGCAATATATTGGTCGATATTTAATAGAATGCCTATAAGAGCAAATATGTAAAGGTTATTTAGATATTAGTTTCTTAATTTTAAATATCCAATGATTCTATGTTATTCCCATAAATTTTAGGGGCTAATATTAAATTATTAAAAATTTTAAGGGACAAATTATAAATAAGCCATATTTAAAAGAAGTGTTAATTTTTAAAAAACCCTCTCAACTATGGGGATTGTTATAAAAAACCACTCAACTGATTCAATTTGACAAAACCCCCTCATTATGTGGGGTGTTATAGATAACCCCTCTTAATTTTGGTGCAATTTTAGAAAACATCTCTCAACTATAGCGTATCTCATAAAAACTCCCCTAATCTGGTGCAATTTTAGAAAACATCTCTCAACTATAGCGTATCTCATAAAAACTCCCCTAATCTTTTACACTTCTATCAACAAACCCCCTTAACTCCCCTAATCTTTTACACTTCTATCAACAAACCCCCTTAACATAGTTACTTCGATATGTGATTTGGAAAAAAATACCCTACTGAAGAAAGCAATTTTAATTAAATAGAAACCCTCAACCGACAATAAAAGGATCATAACTAATTTACAGTTTTTTTTCCTCTATATCACCTCTTTTATCTAGCAAAAGCCAAGGTAATTTTTTATGATTGATTGATATTTTGGTCTTTTCAAGTCAAGTACTTGTCACATAATAGATAAGACTTTGATTATGTTAGTTTTGAGAGGTTGGGTTTAAGTGAGAAAAGTTCACTGGGGTTAAATAATTTTTTTAAGTTGAGATAGATTATCTACAAAACTTGACAGAGATTTACTCAGTCTTAAATAGTTTTATTTG